AGATGTGCATAAATGATGGTAACAATAACAATACCAATAATAATTATAGTAGTCATAATCACAACAGTAATGATAATGATGTGCATAAATCCACCAGGTCTTTACTCTGTCTGCGGGAGATGCTTTTTGCAGCAGCCTGATAGTAATAGTAGTTACTAATAATAGCACTGATAACTATATAGTAGTAGTTACTACTACTAGAAGTAATACTAGTAGTAACTAAAATCATAATAATAGCAATAATGATAGTAAGCTTGACTTTGGGTACTGCCCCCCACCCTGCAACAGTCTATATAAGGGCTCATGTTAATTGCTATATATGCTAAAAAATATATTATACATATCATCCAGCTGTTACAGAGTGGGGGCAGGCCGTACCCAAGCTTGACTGGAGGCAGGCACCTGAATCCCTGATAGCCATGCTGACTTCCTTCTCACTGCCATAATGCGGCGCAACATCGATATGTCCTGGGACGGCCATGCTAATCCCAGCCCACTTCAAAAGTCCAACATGTTCCAATATGAGCTCTAGTCCAAACTCCCAGTATCTCCCTTAATAACCCTTATAATACTCCCTATGTTATCCCCTATAACCCCCTTGAGGAGCTTAGACTGTAGATCATATGCTGCAGCACTTAGCTCTGAGGTCTCTGCTGTACCCAGCACGCAGTGCATCAAGCACCTTCTTGTAGACTTCGTTGGCAGGTTTCAGTGGAAGCTTCCACACTTGCCAAACCTCCCACGTTGAGAATTAAGTCAGGTCAGGTGTGGGAAAATGTCTCTTTGCACAGACACACATGAGTAGTTTTTTTTTTGTGGTTGAATCAAGCAAGATTATGTTCTGGATACAAAATACTATACCCAAAAGGAGGACGTAATCTTACTTTATCTTGGGTACCATACTATCCCCAAATAGAATACGACTCACATGCATGAACAAGCGCCCCTGCAGCCAAATCACACTGAAGATGAGAAGCGGCCTCACATCTTGAGTTGAGTTTCACCATGGACCCAGGTGTCGCCTCTATGACTTCTATGCATGCAACGTTATCCATGGAAAAACAATTAAGCGCTGCCTAGCTCCAACCATTGGATGCTCAAAGAAGCATGCAAGAGAAGACCTACCTGGAACCATAGGGGCCCTTGGGTCACAAGCAACCTACAAATCACAGCACGTGGCTTCTGGTCATGCGCCAAAACTACTGCGTTGAATAGAATTGCAAACCACCTGATAACTGCAACGGTTGTCTCAACTGCTGGACGAGGTGCATGGGTAGTCCATTCGCCAAGGAAGTACAAGCGCCCACATCACTAGCAGGGAGCTGGAATGATCTACCTGCAGGCGAAGCCCTAAACCCTAAAGGCATAAACCCTACAGCCCCAAACCCTAAACCCTAAAGCCCTTAACCCTAAACCCTGAAGCCCTAAATCCTTGAAGCCCTTAACCCTAAACCCTGAAGCCCTAAATCCCTGAAGCACTAAGACACAGTTTGGTTTGCCCTGGAATGTCACCAGTGTTCTTTCAATCGCAGGAAGCAATTTAACGATCTTACCATAATATGAGCTATAGTCTAGACTCCTAGTAGCCCCCTTTCTAACCCCTATAATAGTCCCCTATATAATCCTCTATATATACCCCCCTTCAAGGAGTTTAGACTATAGCTCACATCAGTTCTCCTGTATGCCAGAGCTGCTTGGGAAGGGAAGATGGAGCCCATGGTTGGTCAGAGTCACCGGCAGGTAGCTGCCGAGCCTTTGCTCAGCTAGATTTGGGGGTTTCCCAAAATTAGAGGTACTTTTTTGGGGGTCCCCTTAATAAGGATTATAGTATATTGGGGTCTATATTGGGGTCCCCTTATTTTGGGAAACTACCATTTGCACTCCGATCAGATTCAGCTCAACATCGTCCCAACAATGTGCAAAGTCGTGTACGTATATAGTACCGTATATCGTTCCCCTCAAGTAGACAAGACATGGAAATGCCCAATATAACAGTAAGATTCCCATATACCTCTCTACTTAAGGGGGACTGTAGGTCTGATTGCGGTGAAGATTCTGGTACTCGCCCGCCACAAGCCACAGCTGCAGCGAACGCAAAAGGGCGCGCGCAGTGCCGCTCATCTCCTGCCAACCAACCTGCCACTTCTTGGTATCGTAGCCTCGGTTTGGATCAAGCACCCTCCCGGAAACTAACATGGAAACCCCAAAAGGGCCCTATAAAGACTACAGCCCCTTTAAAGTAGGGGCTACATGGGTTTCCATGTTAGTTTGGGGGAGTGTAACTTCAGCATCGAGGATGCTTCCCTTCCCTATATTACCCTATATTATGTAGTAGTTTCCATTTTCCTTTCCATTATCCCTATATAACCCCAAGATACTATAGTAGTTTCCATTTTCTTTTCCATTATCCCTATATAACCCTATATTACCCTTTTATGACCCGCAGCACTTGGAAGGCCAGGAAGCCCAGCCAGTACATGAATTCGTGCACAGCCACGACCTGCTGCACCTTAAGGGCAAGGACACGGTTTAGGGTTTAGGGTTTAGGGTTTAGGGTCAGTACCAACCTTCACTTGAGATCTAGTCTAAACTCCTAGTATCCCCCTTAGCATTGGGTTTCGGGTTTCTTGTTTTAGCGCTTAGGGTCTAAACTCCTAGCATCCCCCTGAAAAAACCCTATAGTACTCCCTACATACTCCCCTATATAACCCGCCTTTAAGGAGTTTGGACTATGGCTCACTTGTTTTTGTCCTACTCAGCCGCTTCTCCCCTCAACCAGAGCATATAGAGGGGAATATATAGGGGAGTATTATAGGGGTTCTTAACTAAGGGGATACTAGAAGTTTAGACCCTACACCCTAAACCCTATACTAGGGGTTCTTGACGGGGAAACTATTGTTGATACTGAATATCCTGCAAGACCTAAATATACTATAGTACCATAATTCCCAAGATATATAATTAACCAGGGTCTTGCATTGCAGGATATTTAGTATCCACCGTGGAAGCTCTTACAAAATCCCAGTTCCCATTTCATTCTCCATTTTCTTTTCCATTTGATTCTCCATTATTGGGGTAATACCCCTAAACCCTAAAGCCTAAACCCTAAACCTATATCTTAGAGGACAGCTCAGATTACCCGAATGGCCTCGCGCGGAGTGAGGCGAAGACGGTGAGCGGGGCTCGCGTGTTGGATGGCCAAACCTCAGTCAAAAGCCCTCATTAGGATTCATGGTTTAGGGTTCAGGGTTCAGGGTTTTTTTTTTTGGTGGAGGGGGGGGAGGGGGTGGCTAAGGGAATATGGAAAAGAAAATGGAAACTACTGTAGAATATTGGGGATTGTATTGGGATATTTTACTCACTTGTTCTTAGTAGGGAATAGGGGGATACATTATAGAGGGAATAATTCAAAAGAAAACGGACACTACTACATTTGTTGGGGTTATAGTAGGGAATAGGGGAAGGTATTGTGTGGATTATATAGGGATAATATTCCCTCATTCATGGATGCAGAATGTCCAAGGCTGCCTGGAAAGCAACCACAGACACAGCTGAGATATCTTCCTGGCAACAAAGGCCCTGGACAAGACGGACACCAGTTAGGCGCAAACATCTGCTGAGAATGAACTGTTTCCATTTTCCCTATACAATCCTTATATATATATATGGATAGATATACGCCATAATAATACAGTAGATTCCATTCTCTTTTCCTCCATCCAGAATGAAGACGAGACGTAGCCAGGTTTGCAAGTCAGGTCGACCAGTGTTGTGAGTGCTACTTGTCTGGTGTCTTCTCTGCAGATCCGAAACAAGCAGGAGGAGAGAGGGTGGCCAAGTCAGCAGCCGGAATTTAGTCTGAGAAGACGTGTTCAGACTTGCCACCGGCTAATCAGCACAAGTAGCGCAAGTTGTTCCAGGTATATCGCCAAGCCGAAGCTACGCTCTGCCATGCGTCAGTTGCAAAGTGGCACTCCGCACTTTCTGGCTGGTCCTGGGCCATGCAAGGCTACTTACCGTGCAAACGCTAAGTTGTGTGGTTTGGAAGACTGAGGACAAAGCACAGCTCTCGGGCACCTGGCTGGCTGACCACAGTGCGGCCTCCGCAAAAGGTGGCGAGCGGCTGGCGCATCGACCCGCGGCCCCGGAGGAACAGCTGGAGCTTTGCGCAGCCCAAGAGTTGCCTCCAGCCAGATGACATCTCCAAAGTCTCGCAGTCCCCGATACACCCCAGACCTCCAACGCGAGCCTGCAAACTTTGCTGATGCTGCCGTGAAGGAAGCGAACAGCACGGCATGTCGCGGACAGACCCAAATCTCAGGTCTCATATGAGGTTCACAGTGCTCCAGGTAGCGCTAAAGCCCATTGCGACTTGGAGTCCATTGCGCCAAGTCGTGTGTGCAATGCCTCTTGGTTCAGCCTGTGGTTCCTAGCCTACAGCCCCGCGTGGCAGAATGGTTTTGTACACACCTCCTCTTAGACCCTTGAGCCACTGCCTGCTGGAACCTAGTAACTGCGTACTTGGCGGGTGACCGGGATTCTGGATTCTTGTCTATATATGGTAGTTTCCCAAATAGGGGGACCCCAAATTACAGATAATCCTTATTGCGGGGATCCCCCCAACTAAGGTACCCCTACTTTTGGGAAAACCCCAAAGTTCTGAACGCCGTGCAAACGGCTGCGAGCAGATCCCTGCATATTTGTGTTCGTTCAGCCTGCGAGCCCAAAGTTCAAGAGCAGAATATTGGGTTGTATATATATATATGTATATTTATTTGTTTATTTATTATCTATTTATATATGTATATACATATATATATATACATATATATACACATATACACATATATACATATATATATATGGAGTTATATCATATAAGGATAATGGAAGAGAAAATGGAAACTACTATGATGGGGTAGAAAATTGCACAATGACAACGAGCTCACGTGAGAAGTTGGAAGCTTGTTCGCAGCGCAAACCTATCTACTCTGCTGCGCCTCCGGCACCCTTACGCGCCGAACCATTGCTAGTTGAGGCCCAAAGACCTGGGAGCACAACTGGGGCGTACTTTCCCATAGCAGAGCCTTCAACGACGAGCCTCTAAAATGCAACTCTCTTCGAGAGCTGGCACCGCATCCGACACGCAAGCATGGCGCGAAGGATTTGCCAGTCAGCGGGCCGCTACTCAACGAGCTCAGACAATTTCGAAATCCAGTTGCTGGTTGCTAGGGGTTTGCTAGCAGGATATGTAGTCCAGAACTAGAATGACGTCAAGCAAAGTGTCAAGCAAGAATGCTCCATGACCCATATCACTTGTTCGGCTATACCGGAGGATATGCTGCGGTAGAAAGCCGCACGAATCCCTTTTGGGTTTCAGCTTCAATGGAGCCACGCGATCAAGGACACGGAATAGGCTTCAGCTCATCTGGTTCACAAGACAAAGCGCCCAAAAGCACAACACTGTGTCCTGGGAGGATGAATTTGTGGAAATGTTCAGGGAGTGATGCGACCTCGGGCAAGCATCCCCAGAGAAAGGCCTTGCTGGATTCCAGTGAGGATGGCACGAATCGGAGAGCTCCCAGGCACCCCCACCTGAACCCGTGTTGGATTTCTGCGCCAACCGAAAGCCAAGCATTAATTGAGCTGCTAGCCAGAGAGGGGTGATGGATTCCTGCAGTTTACGTGCTTCAAACAGTAAACGTGCAGTGCGGCGTGCCCTGAGTTTCCAACCCGAGGGAGCCCCGCATGTCTACAGTGGAAGGTGCGGGAGACCTTAAAGGGAGCTTGAAATCGGTCTCTGTAAGGAGTGAGCCAAACTACCAGAAACTTTCTCAAACTGGCCCCAACCCACAACCGCAAGGCTTCTTGCTGTGGTGGCGGCAAGCCCTTCGGAGATTCACCACCTCGGGCTGCTTGCTAGGCAAACTGCACTGTGCAGGGTTTCAAAACTTGAGGTCAATGGTGTCATGTCATCGCCTGTGGCTTCATCATGCCCTGCGAATGCTTGGCAACAGTGCGCTGTCGCCTGCTGCACCGCAACCTTCCAAGTTGTCCAGTCAAGTCAGCAACCCTCGAGAATTTCCAAGCAGGTCTGGCCTGAATTTCGTGCCTGCCAAGACTTCAACTGCAAGAGCACATCATAGCGCATCACTTTGGAGTTGCCAAGCCATGCCTGCAAAGGTCGTCTGGGCCTTTCGGAAAGAAGGTGGTCCCGTTTGACTATGTTGGATTGTATCTTTCTGCATGCATTGCCAACCTTGCCATTTGAAGACAGACTGTTTCTCCACCTCCCTGGAGACCTTTCAAGGAGAAAGCTTCTGTTGCATGACTGGGTTACTATTAAGGAACCTAGATTAATTTACCATAATGGCATACTGGGTATCTACAGCAATTAATAGGGTTTCCCCAATACGTGCCATTGTCTTAACTCCTAGTATCCTCCTTAATGATCCCTATAGTAGTACCTGTATATAGCCCCTTTAAGGAGTTTGGACTATGGCTCATATAGCAACTTAATTCAAATTCCTTAACAGCAACCCAGTTGAGCTCCGGCTTGCACTCAGCCCTGGAGTCAAGGCAACCAGCCTCAGGCTTACGGCCGGTGACTTCGCCAGCCCTGGCAGCACAGAAGGAATAAGGGAATATATACCCTATTTTTTCCAACCCTCTCTATCTTATATGTTATAATGTAGTAATTTTCATTTTATGTTCCAGTTATAATGTAGTAGTCTCCATGTTCTTTTCCATTACTCCCTACACCCTCAACGCTATGAACCTGGTTTCGGGTGAACTTCCCGTCACCCTGGCCTTCTCTGCGGTGACGTACCCAGGCCTAGATCCAAATTCATGTGGAGTCAATCCAAGCTTGCCTCCATAACATGTTCCATGTTCTTTTCCTTTCATCCTCGATTATACAGCGCAATATCCCTAAACCCAACTCCCTAAACCCTAAACCCTAAACCCTCAATAACATAGTCATTCTAAGCATTCTAAGCAGTGGCCTCGTTCTGGAGGCTGCTTCCTTAGCTTGTCAACTGCTGCCTATCACATACACGCATGAGCTACAGTCTGAACTCCTAGCATGCCCCTTAATAACCCCTGTAATACTCCCCTATACAATCCCCTATATAACTTACATAACCCCGAAAATGCTCCCAAATACTGAGGAATTTCGACTATAGTACACATGTTGCAGGGCCCTGGCACCTGTTCCGCTCCAGCACCTGCAGTCTTGGATGCATTTTGCCTAACAGGATCCATCTTGTACCACAAGCTACAATCTGAGCTATAATCTAAACTCCTAGGATCCCCCTTTATGAGCCCTACAATAGTACCCCTATGTAATCCCTATATAACCGTCTTTAAGGAGCTTAGAATAAGGCTCATCTGGAGACTCAAGCAATTCTGAGCTCTTCCGCACTTGCGTCTGCGGCTCATGTTTGCGAAAGCAACTTGATGCAGCTTGGGCGCTAAGCGGTCTGCTGTCGATAGCCTGCTGCAAGGATCCAGGAGTCGAAAACTCGAGCAATATTAATAACAATAATTGCAGTTGTAATAATACTAGTATTAAAATGATATGAATACCAGTACTACTTATAAAAATGACAGCTAAAAAAATCAAAAAAAAGCAAACCCTAACCCAGTGACACCGAAGCAGAAGGGGATCCCGCCTTTCGCGTCGTTGACAATTGATTTCGAGGCTGGATCTTCTCCTCTTGGGCCATTGTACATGATGGTAGTCTAGGGTTAGGTTTGTCTACATATATATATATATAGCTACTTACATATATATATATAGATAGATATAGTTTGGAGGGTCATATCTGCATTTTCTATTTGTTTATCACTATTTATTTGAATACTTATATGCATATATCTATACAGATGTATACGTGCGCATATTGGGTTTATACAGTATCAACCTTGCTTGTTACCTCGCTCTTGCGTTTGTGCCGGACCTGCCTTCCACCCGTTGCGAACGCTGCCAGATCCGGAAACACGGCCAGCTTTTCCGGCTGAACCTTTCTCAAACGGTTTAGGGGTTTTTTAGGGTTCAGGGGGCTTGAGAGTTTATGGTTTGGGGTTTTGGGTTGAGGGATAAGTGTCTAGACTCCTAGTATCCCCCCTTAATAGTAGCAAACAGGAAATCTGAACGTTTGGACTGGCCCATATGATCCTTTCCGACCCTCTGCTTTCATGACCAAAGCTGATGATTTCTTCCACTCTCCTCACCGGACTCAGTCTTCCATTCCTCTTCCTCTTATTATTCTTGCTTCTGCGCATGGGCAGGTCACGGCCCTCATCGCACGCCGCCACTCCTGCTTACCATTGCTGTCCAGAACGTCTTCGACACACAGAAAATTGCAGAAAAGCATCTGGGCCCTGACTAATGCCGTAGCCAGGATAATTTTGCCCCAAAGTACTCAGTGTGTCCCTGCCCAGTAGACGTGAAGCCTGCACATCCTGTTTCGCAAGACTTAGATTTAAGGCGGAGTTATCCCAACTGAGCTCGCAGCATTTCAACATGCAATGGGCCCACACCCTACATCATAACCCTATAATGCTCTATGGTAGTTTCCAGCTTCTTTTCCATTACCCCAATACAGCCCCAATACAACCCTTATAAAGCCACTATATAACCCAATATAACCCCAATATCTCTCTCTCTCGCTCTCCCTCCCTCCCTCGGTTTAGGTTTTAGGGTTTAGGGACCCATGACAGCTTCAGAGATGTTTTTGCAGTACTAGAATGGGTTATATAGGGATTATAGGGTATATATTGGGGTTATACAGGGATAATGGAAAAGAAAATGGAAACTACTATTATCAATCTGTAAACACTTGTGAATGCAGACCGTCGCCTGCTGGGGTTCTCGGCGTTCGAGCCGTGCTAATGCTTCCACCTTGAGACCTGGCATTCAGAAGCTCGCAAGCTTGCAGATTTGAGTTCTGAACCTGCCAGTCTCCATTTTCTTTTCCATTATCCCTGTAAAACCCCATTGTTATACCCTATTATCCCCATATAACCTCTATATCGGGGTACCCATGTACAACCCCTATGATCCCTGTAGTTTCCATGTTCTTTTCCAGTATCCCTATATAACCCCTAAATGACCCCTCTATAATCCCCTGTAGTTGTGGTTAGAATCAGACTCGGGCGCCCGACATATCACAGCTCCTGGACCGTTCCATGGCAGTCGCTGCCTCCAATGGCCAACAGTTCGCCCAGTCCGTTAGTCCAGGATCAGCATGGTGCCACAAAGTGAGCCATAATCTAAACTCCTAGTATCCCCCTAAATAAAACCTACAACACTCCCTTACATGATCCCCTAGATAACTTATATGACCCCCTTCAAGGAGTTTTTACCCTAGACTCTGAACCCTTTGTAACCCCTTTCAAGGAGTTTAGACTATAGCTCATGGTGCCACAAAGTCACCGAGGCACTTACGCGGCCCCTTGCCACCCTGGCAACGTACATTGTGGACACCTCGCCTCCCAAGAATATGCTGTAATCGTTGCAATATGAATAGGAAAAATAGAGTAGTAACAGTAATAAGAGTATTAATAGTAAAAGCAGTAGCAGTAGGAATAGTAAGAATAATAGTAATGGTAATATTACTTGTAGTCATAGTTGTAATGATACTAATTATGATACTGGTAAGAAGAGGAAGAATAATAGTATTAGTATAACTATCATAACATTCATGATTTTCAGGGGGCACTTTTGGCCTGCACGCGCTGTGCCTGACGCAGGTGGTGAAACTTCTCTTCGAACAACCTTGGTCCAAGGCAAAACGCAGCATTCTGGAATTGCTGGTCAGACCTTTTTTTCAAGGTGCGGGAGGCGCTGGAGAAGCCGCTCCTGGCGGTGGCTCAAATCGATGTGGCGACCTGAAGATTGCGAAACGCTAGTTCACCGGGTGTCAACACCAAACGTTTCAGAACATGCAGTGCCTCGTCGGGGAAACACTCTGCGCACTGGGCTTGGCCTCGTTGAAAGCTGGGGCAAAAACTTACTGGTACT